GGTTTCCTACCATTATGGTCAGAAAAGATACTTGATATGATTTTAATTTTCTTAAATTTATTGAGGTTTGTTTTATGTTCTAACATGTGGTCTATTCTAGAAAATATTTTACATGCACTTGAAAAGAATATATATTCAGCTGCTTTGTGGTGAAATGCTCTGAAGATATCAATTAAATCTGATCTTGTGTGTTATTTTTTATTTATTTATTTATTTATTTATTTATTTATTTAATCCTCACCCGAGGACATTTTTCCATTTTTTGCACAGATAGAGTGGGAGGGAGAGAGAGGAAGAGAGAGAGAGAGAGAAACATCGATGTGAAAGGGACACATCGAGTGGCTGCCACCCGCACGACCAAGCAGGGCCGGGGACAAACTGCAACCGAGGTACATGCCCTTAACGGGAACCGAACCCAGGTCTCTCCGGACCGCAGGCGGATGCTCTAACCGCTGAGCCAAACCGGCCAGGGCTGACCTTGTGTGTTATTTAAGGCTGCTGTTTCCTTGTTGATTTTCTGTCTGGAAGATCTATCCATTGATATTAATGGGCTGTTAAAATCCCCTGCTATTACTGTATTATTCTCTATCTCTCCCTTTATGTCCATCAAGATTTGCTTTACATATTTATGTTCCCCTACGTTGAATGCATAAATGTTTACAAGGGTTATATCCTCTTGTTGGATTGCCTTTTTCTCATTATGTAGTGTCCTTCTTTGTCTCTTATTATAGCCTTTGTTTTCAAGTCTATTTTGTCAGATATAAGCATTGCTATGCTAGATTTTATTCCATTTGCATGAATTATCTTTTTTTTTTTTTTCCTCACCCGAGGACATTTTTTCATTTTTTGTTCAGGTAGAGTGGGAGGGAGAGAGAGGAACAGAGAGAGAGAAACATCGATGTGAAAGGAACACATTGAGTGGCTGCCACCCGCACGACCGACCAGGGCCGGGGACAAACTGCAACCGAGGTACGTGCCCTTAGCGGGAACCGAACCCGGGTCTCTCAGGACCGCAGGCCGACGCTCTAACTGCTGAGCCAAACCGGCCAGGGCTGAATTATCTTTTTTTATCCCTTTACTTTTAGTTTGTGTGTATACTTCAATCTGAAGTTGGTCTCCTATAGACAGTACATATATGGGTCCTGTTTTCTTATCCATTCAGCTACCCCCTGTCTTTTCATTGGAGCACTTAATCTATTTACATTTAAAGTGATCATTGATAAGCATGAAGATTTATGTTCTTTTTTTTCCTTCTTTTTCTTAAAGAAGTCCCTGTAACATTTCTTATAATACTGGTTTGGTGGTGGTAAACGTCTTTAGCCCTTTCTTGTCTGGGAAACTCTTTATCTCTTCTTCAATTTAAAACAATAGCTTTATTGTTCAGAGTAGTCTTGGGTGTAGGTCCTTGCTTTTTATCATTTTGAACATTTCATGCCAATCCCCTCTATCCTGAAAAAGTTCTGTTGAGAAATCAACCTACAGTCTTATGGGAACTCCCTTATAGATAACTAACTGCTTTTCTCTTGTGGTTTTTAAGGTTCTCTTTGTCTTTAACCTTTGACATTTTAATTATAATGTGTCTTGGTTTGGGCCTCTCTGTGTTTTCTTGTTTGGGACTTTCTGTGCTTCCTGGACTTGCATGTCTACTTTCTTCACCAGGGCAGGAAAGTTTTTTGTTTTTTGTTTTTTTTTAATCCTCACCCGAGGACATTTTCCTACTTATCTTGGGATAGAGTGGGAGAGAGAGAGAGTGAAACATCGATGTGAGAGAGACATATCAACTGGTTGCCTCCTGCCCGACCACAAGCAAGGCCAGAGACAAACTGCAATTGAGGTACGTGCCCTTGACTGGAACTGAACCTAAGACTCTTTGGTCTGTGGGCTGATTGTCAAACCACTGAGTGAAACCAGCCAGGGCATGGGCAGTAAAGTTTTCAATGATTATTTCTTCATATAGGTTTTTAATTCCTTGCTCTCTCTCTTCTCCTTCTTGTACCCCTATGATGCAAATGTTGGTACACTTGATGTGGTCTCAGAGTTCCTTACACTATATCTTTTTAAATTATTTTTTTCTTTTTGATGTTCTGATTGGGTGTTTTCTGCTGCCTTGTGATCTAAATTGCTATTTTGATCCTTTGCTTAATCTAATATCCTATTGATTCCTTTTAGTTCTTTTTTTTTTCTTATTGTATTTTTTATTTCTGACTGGTTATTTTTTTTATGATTTCTATATCTTTAATTTTTTTTTAAATATCTCTTGTTGAAGTTCTCATTAATTCCTTGAACATTCATATAACCAATGTTTTGAAATCTGTTTTGGGTTGATTGCTTGTCTTTATTTTATTCTTTTTCTGAAAATTTCTGCTGTTCTTTCATTTGGGATATGTTTCTCTGTCTCCCTATTTTGGCTTCTTTTCTGTGTTTATTTATTTGTATTAGGTAGATCTGCTACATCTTCCAGTTTGGGGAAGGTGGTCTTATGTAGTAGGTGTCCTTTGTGGCTCAGTGCCACAGTCTCACTGGTCACCTGAGCCAGGTGCTCCAGGAATGCCACTCATTTGAGTTGTGTACACCCTCCTATTGTAGTTGAGTCTTGATTACTATTGTCACATCAGCCAGTGGGATTGACCCTCAGGATGACTGGCTGTGAGGTTTGGCCATGACCCACTATATGAGCTGCTGTGTGTGGGTCAACACCACGGAGCAGAATTTGCCCTTGTGAGGTCTGTTTTCTGCTAAGATTACTCTTATATTGTGCAACTCTTTGAGCTTATTAAATGGTGCTCTGTTTTGGTCTGCAGTCATCTACTGTGTGTATTTTTTTCTGGGACCTTTTGGGAGGGCCTACAGTGCAGGTCAGTGCTAGACGCTGCCTGTGACTGGCCTGGGCTACCTATTAGGTGCTACAAAGAAATCTATAGTTGGTAGCTGCCTGTGCTGGGCCTGGATGTGTAGGGGAGAGGCCACACTATAAACTGAGGCCAGCTGCTATCAGTATTGTGCCTGTGGCAGGTCAGCAAAAGGCTCAAGGCACCCTGAGACTTGCTGTCACCTGCAGGCTCCCTATAAAGCTCTGTTGCTAAAAAAAGCCTTGGGGTTTGTGTGAATTGAGTGGGGCCAGGCCTGAGGGGGTTGTCCGTGGCGAGCCAGTGGAGTTTACCCAGCTAATAAAGATTGAGATTTCACCATGATGGGGGAGGACTTGACACAGGAAATATGGAGTCCATCGGTCATCCATAAGGGGCTCAACACAAGGACAATGGCAGCCAAACCTCCAGCCCTTGTCCTGAAGCCACACAACTCAGTTTCTACCTGTGTCTGTGGCGCCTCCTGAACCTGACTAGAATTTCTCGAGAGTTTCTAAAGAAAGACTGTAATGGACCCAGCTTGGCTGCCCACAAGTTTTAGCTGTTGAAACAGCCTTTGGATGTACAAAAGTTGGGTGAAGCAAGGTCTGCAGGAATTACCAGGGTGGGACAAGTGATGTTTACCAGGTTAATTTCGATTAAAATTTGGCACCACTGCTGAGCCTGAGTACACTCAGTAAAGGTCTCAGAGTACACTGAGGCCAGCCACCACCTGCCTGGGTCTTCAAACCTTTGTGGTGGGTGGCGTCTCAGGGAGTCACCAGGCTAATGCAGGTTCAGATTTGGTCATGAGTGGAGAGGACTCCACACAGGAAAGATGGCACTGGGCTGTCATGAGGAAGGAGGGCTCCGCACAGGGACAATGGCGGCCGTATTTCCAGCCCTTGTCCTAAAGTCAAACAACTCAGTTCTCCCTGCATGTCTCTGGTGCCCCCAGAGGCACTGCTCCTCTGACAGAGCCCAGGTGAATGCCTGTAAGTGAGAGTTTGTGTGAGGGCCCTTCGAGAGAACACCTGGGTTTTCAGCAGCCTTCCATCTCACCCACACAGAAGGAACCCCTTCTGATTTTCACAACCGGGTGTCGTGAGTTCCTCTTTTCAGCACTGGTGTTCTTGACTGAGGACTCGTGTGTGGGGCTGAGACCCGTCTCTCCTTAGGGGGGACTTCTGCAACTGAGATTTTCCTCTAGTTTTCACTGCCACACATGGGTGCAGTCTCAATGTAATTTCTTTATATCCTTAGTTATAGGACTTTGTATAAATTATTAAAAATTTTTGTTTACCTCAGTGTTTTAGGCCTGAGAATGCTGTAAGGTTTGACTGGTGACACCTGGTGGTATAAAATGATAATTACATATAACATGAATCATAACAGGTGATCAGTTTTGCTAAAGGAAATACTCAAAAGCCATAAAATCCAGGGGAAAATCCTCTGTGAATCAGAGTTCCTAGCTTTTAGCAACCAAAACAACCTCACTGACTTAAGCAGAAAAGTACAGTTCCTGGGGGACAGTGCTGCCATTTAACATTAACACCATGGGTATCAGTTTCTGGGGGCCCGGCAGGCACCGCCGCTCCTGAACACTGGACTCTGCCACCGTTCAGACTCTTGATTCCAGGATTCCAATTCAAAGCCTAGAATAGGATGCATCCAACTGGCCTGGCCATGGCCACATATCAGCCCCTAGCTGCAAGGAAGGCTGGAGGAGCAGCTGGACGTTGTGGCCGATTGAATGAGATAATAAAAAGTTATTACAAGATTAAGTGAGATAAATATAGGTAACGTACTAAAGTACAGTGCCTAGGATTGATGAGTTTTCCAAAATGAGAGGGGTTATTTTATATCTTTATTTGATTGTGAGCTTTTTTTGTGGGCAAATACCTCATTTTATTCATTTTTGTATTCTGGACACAGGATCTGAATCTCAATGACTGTTGAACTGCATTGCTTGCCCCTGAATACAAGCTAGGCTACTCTACTTGTTCTATATCTCAAATTACTTATAGGCCTTTTTAAGACCTTTGACTAAAATACACTTTAAAATAAAAATATGTAACAATAATAATAATATTCATCCAATATCTGAGACTTTTTCCTCAAAATTACCACTAATAGAAAATTAAATCTTTCCACAGGTCTTCTAGAGTGCATAAAAGCAGAAGATAAAATTTTTGTCTTATCATGAAACTATTATCTGAAGGACAATTAAAGTTTTGCGTCCAACCAATACATCTCACATCATGGTTGGTTGTATTTTTCTTTCTGAAGTCAATCTCTTCTCTAAAACCTGCCCGACTTCCAATTTATCAAAGGAAACCTTTTATAGCTGCTTGGAACGCTCCAATCGATAAATGTTTGATAAAATATAATATAAAACTAAATTTGAAAATGTTTCAGATTACTGGAAGCCCACTTGCCAAAGCTAGGGGGCAAAATGTCACTATATTTTATGTCAACAGACTGGGATACTATCCATGGTATACATCACAGGGAGTTCCCATTAATGGGGGTCTGCCCCAGAACACAAGTTTGCAAGTACATCTAAAAAAAGTTGACCAAGATATTAATTATTACATCCCTGCTAAAGATTTTAGTGGACTTGCTGTTATAGACTGGGAACATTGGCGACCTCAGTGGACCCGGAACTGGAACAAAAAAAATGTCTACAGACAGAAGTCAAGAAAGCTTATTTCTGATATGCTGAAGAATGTATCAGCTTCTGACATTGAATGTTTAGCCAAAGCAACCTTCGAAAAAAGTGCAAAAGCTTTCATGAAGGAAACCATCGAACTGGGAATTAAGAGCAGACCCAAAGGTCTTTGGGGTTATTATTTATATCCTGATTGCCACAATTATAATGTTTATTCCCCAAACTACACTGGGTCATGCCCAGAAAAGGAAGTTTTGAGCAACAATGAGCTCTCTTGGCTCTGGAACAGCAGCACTGCTGTATACCCTTCTATTGGTGTCAAGAAATCCCTTGGAGACGGAGAAAACATTTTGCGCTTCTCGCAATTTCGGGTGCATGAATCCATGAGGATCTCCACCATGACATCCCACGATTATGCTCTGCCTGTGTTCGTCTACACTAGGCTAGGCTACAGAGATGAACCTTTGCTTTTTCTGTCCAAGGTAAGACCCTGCTTGCCAGAGATAGGGTGATTTCCTCCCTCTCTCTGAAAGAGACATTTCTTTTAATTATGTTCTTTGAAGAATTCCCAATTAGTGGTATGTTAGAAAAGAGCATAATTCCTCCTTTGACTAGTCATTTATTTAAATGTTTAGTTAAGCAAAATACATTTGAATTGTCTTATTGTCATTCTTATAAGACAGGAAGGAAAGAGGGACGAGGTTTAAGTGCAATATCAGCAACTAGTACTGCTTCCTTCTCCCCAACTTGTGCACTCTTACAATTGGCCCTTTGGGAACATTGTTGAAACAGTTGGTGGTAAACAGGTTGCAGATCAGAGAGGATGTCTGAACATGGGGCAGTTTCTTCACACATGTGGAAGGCACTTGTCTTTCTGGCCTCACCAACTAAAATGTCAAGAGAAAAGTGTCTTCTTTTTAATGTGTAATATCAGCTTCGATCAAAGGTATAAAGGAAGCCAACAATGTAAATATACTTAACACTACTAACTGTATACCTAGAAATGGCCAAGATGGTTAATTTTATGTATGTGTTTTTTAACCACAATTAAAATATTTTAAACATTTAAAAAAAGCATAAAGGAGTTGCAAATCTGCTAAAAGTAGGTGAGTGTATAGATTTAGCCATCTGGTTTATTCTTAACTTTATGACTACAATTAATGGAAAGTTATTAAGAGCAGTATGAGTTTCTAAAATTCAATAATAAATTCATCACTAGTAGATGGTTTTGTAACCCTAGGTTAAAACTTATGAATCGAAGTTTTATTCTGTTTATTTTACTTGTCATATATGTAGCCAAAGACCTCACACAAACCATGAGGTTAACTTTTAAAATAGATAAACTTCCAGCTCAAGTTTCCCTCCCTTTTTCTCCCTTTGCTACTCTAGTCACTTAAATGGAAAATTATAGAGTTAAAAACTTAAAAGTGAATGACACTGTTACCTTTGGACTTGAATAATTTATGTAATTTTTCTATGATAAGAAGACTCAAGACTTGCACATGTTTTCTTATTTGTGATACAACGATGTTTTAAGAAATGTTTATCACATTTCTTCCTTGCCAGGGAAATACAACTACAAGTTTTAATTCGCCAGCATGTTTTAGACGTATAAATGTATAAAGAGGTTCTGAGTGTTAGGCATCCAAAGGAAACACCCAGGCGAGGGCTCTACCATAGCTAGTAGGTATCTGTGGTGCACATGGGGGGTAGAGCTTACTCCTGTGAGGGAGAAATAGCACACATATAGGAGGATTTGGTAAATGCTATACCTTTGGTACCATTAACGAGATGAGTAAGGACGAAAAACCACTGTGTTGTGAATTGATATTTGTATTACCCAGAAAACTTAGCAATAGATGATTGAGAATTGATAGGAAATCAGTACTATCTGGAAGGTTGAAAAAAGTTATCTAAATCTTTATAAAATAATCTTGACTCTGGGATGTAAAGTTAAATATCACCTTCTATGAAACTTATTTTCCTTTTCTGTGTTTGGCTTGAATACATTTCTTCATTTAATGATAGTAAATTTGCTTTTAGAGGAAACAATAAACTTTAAGGGGCAAAGTGTTCATTTCAGTAAGATTACTTTAGACTACTGGTACATTCTGCATATTATTCAAATGTAAGGGAAGCTACTCCATAAGTAGCTACAGCTTCAGAAATGCACCTGCTCTCCTAAAGGAAAGAAGAAACAAGAACTACGTTCTTATCTAGAGACAGTTTTCTTTGGCAGTCTCAGGTATAATTCTGTATCATCCTGAAAACTTTCTGGATGGCAAGGTATTTTCAAATGTTTTAAGCCATTAGTTCAACTACTATTTTAGTTTGTCCTCCATAAACCTGTCCACAAATTTTTAGAAACTTGATATTTATTTATATCAACCCGTAAGTGACTAGTAATGGCTTCCATTTCTTATCTTCCCAAAGACATCTGCATTTTATTGTGTGTGTGTGTACACATATAATTAGGATTAGAAAAAGGATTTACCAATAGTAACAAATCTCTCTCTCACTCTCTCTTTTTGTGTTAATCCTCACCTGAGGATGTTTTTCCATTAATTTTTAGATGGAGTGGAAGGGAAGGAGGTAGGGAGAAAGAGGGAAACATTGATGTGACAGAGACATATCAATTGGTTGCCTCACACATGACACTGACTGGGCCTAGGGATTGAACCTGCAACCCAGGTACGTGCCCTTGACCAGGAATCAAACCTGTGACCCTTTGGTCCACCAGCCGACACTCCTACCACTGAGCCAAAGTGGCCAGCACAGTAGCAAATCTCTTAACCTCTCCAGACCTCAGTGCCTCATTGTCTTAATCTGCAAAATCAGACAATATTACATGCCTTACCTACATAGCAGAGTATTATAAAAGTCAAATGACAAAACATATATGAAAAATTTAAACACTACAGAAATACATGTGGTAAAGCTATCATGTCTTATCAAGCTTTAAAGCCTTAAATTTGGGAGAGGAACATCTAAGAATGGAATGTCTGTCAGCAGCCATAGCTTGGGGGAATGATATGGGGCAATGACACATCATGTCACACAGAAGATTGCCTACACTGCTTACATATAAATACAACCTAGACATAACTTGATGTCTCCATTAAAAGAGAATGTAAGAAGTTCTCTTGACTGTAGATTTCAAGACTTTTTCCCTGCAATGAATTAATATTCCCTTTGGTAACACACAAAGGAAGCTCATTAGTGATGTTCCAGCTCCCCACAGAGGGCACCTTACTTACATGTGCTGTGGTTTACCAGGGACCAACTGTGGAAAATGAGTCCTCTCAGTGCCTGTATGTTCTACTTTCAAGGATCACAGGTAGGGCAAGGCAGTACTATACCATGCTAAAACCTGGGAGATTTGTTGCTATTACATCGTTTTAGTTTTCTTTTTTTATTTATTGATTTTAGAGAGAGAGAGAGGAAGTGAGATAAAAATGTCTATTTGGCACTGGCTGGTTTGGTTCAGCAGTTAGAGCGTCAGCCCGCAGTCCAGAGAGACCCGGGTTCAGTTTCCGCTAAAGGCATGTACCTCGGTTGGAGTTTGTCTCCAGCCCCAGTTGGGGTTGTGCAGGAGGCACCCACTCAATGTGCTCCTTTCACATCGATGTTTCTCTCTCTCCCTCCCACTTTATCTGAACAAAAATAGAAAAATGTCCTCGGGTGAGGGAAAGAAAAATGTCGATTTGTTGTTCCGGTTATTTATGCATCATTGGTGGATTCTTGCATGTGCCCTGACCAGAGATTGAATCTGTAACCTTGGCATATCAAGATGACACTATAACCAACTTAGCTACCAGGCCAGGGCTTTGCTTTTTCTTTATTTATCCTTTTATATGATCTCATTCATGTGGCTTTCAGGTGGTCCCAATCTACTCCCAGAGGACCTTACCTGTGACTTTCCTGAGTCTCCAAAACATAGCTGCTCTATGATTCATTCAGCACCTTGCTCTCAGCTAGGTGGTGGTAAGCTAATTTGGTACAGAAATTTGCATTAACATCTAATACTTACTCCTTACCTCCAGTCAACATGTGCATGAAGACTTGCCATTTTGAATCACCCCAATAAACTCTCTCTGATAATGACGCTAAAGAAACTAACATTCCCTCCTGATAGTAGCCTCACAAGGTGTGTCTTTCATGACAGTGGTCCTGCAGGCACCACTGCTGGATGGAGCAGGGAAACCTGACCTGCTGGAGGCTCAGCTGAACAGGTCTGAGAGATTAAAAACTCTAGGGATTCAGTCATGAGTAAGGGGAAGGAGGGTACACTATGTGAGTTTTACCTCCAGGAACTCATCAAGTCCTCACCATGAATATCAGAGAAAAATCCCCTCATGCATCTCTTAGGCAGCAGAATCATGGGGCCATTTGGAACATTCCAGAGATTCCTGTTCTTAACTGAGTGTGCTTTCAGGAGAAACTATTTAATCAGAGCCAAACCTACTGGGATCGTATCAGAGCCTAACTGACCTGGGGGAAGGGAAATACTCAACTTCAGTTGGCTCTAGATTTCCATTTAGAAGCAGGGAAATCCCAAACTTTAGCTCCAATAAGTCAGCCAATCCCACCTAAAATGGGAAAACAACAACTGAGAAGCAGTTGTGAAGCTCACAGTCCAGAGGCAGTCTTACTAGAGACACCTAATCAGAGCACTTTAAACCCTTCCGTTCCCCACACACTACTAAGGCCTATTCATCACAGCTCCTTTTACCCAGTACGAGCTATCCTCCCATCAGAAAAAATTACATCATGTCTAGCTATCAAGAAAAAAAAAATTACAAGATATACTAAAGGCAAAAGCACAGTTTGAAGAGCCAGAGCAAGCCTCACAACTAGATACATATATGGCAGGGACGTTGGAATGATCAGCCCAGGGATTTAAAACAACTATGATTAATATGCTAAGGATTCTAATGGACAAAATAGACTGATGCAAGAACAGATGGACAAGGTTAGCAGAAAGAGGAAATTCTAACAAAGAACCAGAAAGAAATGTTAGAGATCAAAAACACTGTAACAGACATGAAAAATATCTTTGATGGGCTTATTAGATTGGACATGATTAAGAAAAGAATCTTTGAGCTTCAGAGTATCTCAATAGAAACCTCCAAAACTGAAAAGGAAAGAAAATAAAGACTAAAACAAAACAAAACAAAACAAAAAGAACAGAATATCCAAGCTAGCTGAGATCACCGAGAAAGGTGTAACATATACTTAATAAGAATTCAGAGAAGACCATTGGAGGGTTTTGGCTCCTCTGATCACATCATGCCATCACGTGAATATGGCTTCACTATGTTCAGGGAAGTTTCAAAGGGAGTGGAAGGAGGAGCTCTGCTCCCCATGTCTTTGCTAAAAACGGCCATGGACACGGACCCAGCACAGTCTTCATTCTGGGCACTCACACTATCTCATGTGAGCCTCACAAAATTTCCCCTTCCTGTCATGTTAGCTCTGAACTATTCAGCAGATGCCATGGTCATTAAAAATGGAAATAGATGTGAGCCTGAAAGGGAAATTAGTTTAAACCAAAATCTCTTCCCTTTTTGAAGATTTTCAGAAAATTGCCCAGAAACAAACAAAAAAATTTAAAAAACTGAGATTGCAAAACCATTTACTTTGGACTATAAAAGTGTCAGATAAGGAGACTTATCTCTCAAGTATTAATATTAATAAAAAATGTCCCAGGAAAAATAAAGTTTAAAGGTCTGCTTTTATTTGCCACCAAATCGCCCAATTACATTTTCCAGCTTATAACTGAAGGAAATTCATTCTTGGAGTAAAAGGTGAATGCTTAATATCCTAAACAGTGGGGTTATATATTACAATTTAACACACTTTTTTAGGAAAACTACTATATACCTTCAACTCTTAATTTCCCTCTGAAATGGCCTCGATCATATTAATCTTTAAACACTAAAAGGATAATCTTTTAGAATTACAAAACCAAATTCCTCCCGCTGAAATTCAGTTTTCATGTATCTTAACCATATTGACCATATTTCAGCAGGCTTATCATGATTGATAAGTTGTAAATAAAGTTCATTAAGTCAGGTGCTTTGATATTAAATGCAAATAATTTCAGGGACCAGATATAAAGGCCAGACCAAATCAGAGCCTGCAGGTCCTTAACACCGTGCTCCTTTGCCTGGTCTTGGAATCCGAATGGCACAAAACCCTCTGAGTCACTGCAGAGTCTGAGTTCTCAGGGGAGTGTTGCAAACTGAAAAGGTAACTTGGCTAAGAGGAATAATTGCCATTTCTCACATTTGGAGAAGGAAAGCTTTTGGGTTCTCTTTCTGGGTCATGTACATATAGCCAGGTTGGATTAAATAACTTTTCCCCCCTTTATTGAGAGAGAGAGAGAGGAAGTGAGAGGGAGAGAGAGATAGAAACATTGATGAGAGAGAACATCAATTGGCAGCCTCCTGCATTCTCCCCACCGGGGATCGGGACCACAACCTGGTCATGTGTCCTGACTGGGAATCAAACTTGGCGACCTCTTGGTGCATGGGTTGAAACAGCCAGACAGATTAAACTTTTGCTGGCTATTTACAGGCTGTCTTCAAAATAATATCTCATTTGGCTAAATGTAAGTTTTTCTTTAAAAATATTTAATAAGTGTTTTCTCAAAAAATTAAAAATTGAACTGCCATTTGAACAAGTGATCCCACTTCTAGGACTATACCCCAAGAAGCCTTAAACACCAATCAGAAAGAATATATATACCCCTATGTTCATTGCAGCACTATTTACAATTGCTAAGATCTGGAAACAGCCTAAGTGTCCATTAATAGACAAGTGGATACAAAAGCTGTGGTATATATACACAATGGCACACTATGCAGGTTTAAGAAAAAAAGGTCTCTTATCCTATGAGATAACGTGGAGGGACCTGGAGAGTATTATGCTAAGTGAAATAAGCCAATCAGAGAAAGACAAATATCACATGATCTCACTTATTTGTGGACTATAAAGAACAAAATAAACTGATGAACAAAATAGACCCAGAGACGTAGTAGTAGGGTACAGACTGACAAACCTCAGAAGAGGGGCATGGGGAAGAGGGAAGAGAGAAACCAAAGAACTTATATGCACGTATGTATAACCAATGGACATAGACATCAATTCTAGAATTGGGGGGGGGGGGGAGAAGGATAGGGAAAAAGGAGAAACAGCTGTAACAAAAATAAATTAATAAAAAAAATTTAAAAATATTTAATAGGTTTTTCAATGTGATTATAGAGGGCAATTTCTGAGCCTTGGGTCATTCAACATTTTTGTTAAGAAAGTAGAAAATAGTTTCATCCTATTAGATTCAGCCTCTAATCCTAATTTCTGGCATGTGGTTTTATATTCAAGTGAATAATGAACTGCACTCTCCTCAATCTAGCAAGATCTAATCAGCACCATTGGAGAAAGTGCTGCCTTGGGAGCTGCTGGCATTGTCATCTGGGGAGACATGAATTTAACTTCATCCAAGGTAAGACAGTACCTTGAAGGTTTAGTAAACATTGTTCAGAGAATTTGCTCTGTTTTCCTATAAAGCTCACTAATCAGAGGTCTCATGGCTTTCACAGTAAACCAGCTTTAGAAAACAAGTCCGAATCAGTGCCTGATACATAGATGGAGCTCAATAAATACTAACTTTTATTAAGAGACTAATAAAGATACTGATATTTGTTGAATGTTTATTATGTGCTAGGATTGTGCTGAGTGCTTTTTTGTTTAGGGTTTTCTCAATTACTAGTCATAATAACCTTCATGAGGTAGGGACTACCATCATTATTTACAGCTGGTTATGCAGGTTAGTGGTGGAGCTGGCATTAACCACAGGTAGCTTCACCCAGAAGCCCTTCCATTCAACCACTACATAAAATGTGTTATATCCTCTTTTGAGAAGTACAAACAGATGGTAATTTTTAAGTTATCACATTAAACTTATTTTTCCTCTACAGAGAAATTAGCTTAAATTAATAGCCTTTAAAATAAGATTTATGTGTCTCATCAAATTTCTCCCAGCTCAGATACTATGTACTCCAAGACATCTTCCTAGTTTTTCCTAATCCATATTAATCACAATCTCTTCTGTATTTCCAGATGTTGTTTGTTTCTCTCTATAGTGTAATATATTTTGCCTTGACTTGTACCCTCAACACTTTTTGTTAAATTGATTTTTTTGCATGTTTACGATGATATGATATTCTTAGAATTTCACAACCTCCTGTGAAACTATTTGTGACAATATAAGGCTAAAAGTCTCCTCTGTCCACGTATGAGAATTACATGGAAACTGAGAGAATGACTTCATTTCTCCCCAGGTGTGATATTTCCCCTTCAGCCTACATGGCTCATGAGAAGAGCTTGATCAAGAAGCTGACTGCACAAACCAGTTGGCTTCTATTTAGAACACAGAATAGGAACCACCTCCCAAAAAAAGAAAGAAGGAAAAGAAAATAGACCTTGTCAGCCTTCCAAGCTTTCCTCTATTTGAATTGTGTATAGACAACTGGAACCCAAGGCAACTGGTATTTGAACATAGTTAACAGAAAAATCCAGAAGGCTATACATTGATGGTCAACAATACATTGGTAGAATATGATGATTAGGGTTCTTTTTTTTTTTTTTTTTTTTTTTTTTTTTATATATATTTTTTTATCCTCACCCGAGGACATTTTTCCATTTTTTGTTCAGGTAGAGTGGGAGGGAGAGAGAGGAACAGAGAGAGAGAGAGAAACATCGATGTGAAAGGGACACATCGAGTGGCTGCCACCCGCACAACCGACCAGGGCCGGGGACAAACTGCAACCGAGGTACGCGCCCTTAGCGGGAACCGAACCTGGGTCTCTCAGGACCGCAGGCCGACGCTCTAACCGCTGAGCCAAACCAGCCAGGGCGATGATTCCGGTTCTAACACAACCATGGAAGGTACCACGGACCTAAAAGGTGGCAGAAGAACAGCAGTTCTGACATGGTTTCTAATCTAAGTCTGTTCCCTTTTTTCACACCCATGTACTTGGGAGCTAGGAGGAGAGAAAAAGGATATAAATTGGCGGAAGGCAAGGTCACATATGCTGACTCTGGGGCCCATTTACAAGTTCGGTTGCTTAGCTCTACTGTAACATAGTCTCCATGCCCGACCCTTTGACTTCTCACCCTTTCTGATGTGGGTCCCCTGTGCTATGGTGCCTCAGCCTGAGTTCACCAACTGGAACCAAGCTGCTAGGTTTCAGTCAAGCCCAACGAGTGATGTATTGTGGGCCTAGAATGCTTCAACCCTATCAGGACCAGAAAACCCCCCACTAAAATCCATTTGTTTCTGCATGTCTAGGGCAACTGTACAAAGGTGAAGCAGTTTGTGAATTCCGAACTAGGGAGCTACATAGTCAACGTGACCAGAGCAGCTGAGATGTGTAGTCTTCACCTCTGCAGGAATAATGGGAGATGCATAAGGAAGGCGTGGAGAGCTCCAGATTACCTTCACTTGAATCCTGCAAGTTACCACATAGAGGCCTCTGAGGATGGAGAATTCAATGTGAAAGGAAAAGCACATGATGCAGACCTGGCAGTGATGGCGGAGAAATTTTCCTGCCACTGTTATCAGGGATACGCAGGGGCTGACTGCAGAGAAATGAAGATTGTTGATGGCTGTTCTGGGGTTTCCTCTTTTCCTGGCTCACTGGTAACACTATGTCTGCTGGTTTTAGGAGATTATTTGAGCATTCAGTTGTGAGATAATTGAGTTTAAAGAGACTCTAGAGTAGTCACTTAGGAAAGAGATGAAACAACAGTTTTTCTCTTGTGAAATCCATTGAGAGGTATTATATGTAGACATTATGTATGTCACTTAACTTAAATAGTAGCATACACTTTATTTATTTTTCTTTATTGATTTTTAGAGAGAGAGGAAGGGAGAGGGAGAGAGAGAGAGAAACACCAATGAGAGAAACATCTACTGGCTGCCTCCTGCATGCCCCCCACTGGGGATCAGGCCTACAACCTGGGCATGTGCTCTTGGTGCATGGGGTGATGCTCAACCACTAAGCCACACTGGTTGGGTGTAACATACACTTTATTTAGCTTCCATTTAGTTAAGAAACCAGATCCAGGAGTAAAATCAATGCACTCTCTTTCCTTATTGGAATGTTTAAGTTGTTTTGAAACTAAAGCAAATATATTGTAGTCTTTATAGGAACATGGTATATACATAAAAGTATACATATAAATATTAAATTATTGATTTCAAAGACTGGTTTTCCAACTAGCAATTTAGTTAAGAAAAGATTACTAAGTAATCATCTGACTCAACAAACAGGTCACCTTAGGGTGTGACCTTGTGATCTGGTCCACTGAAGAGGATCAAACGTAGGGTTCCTGTTTCAGCCTGGTTCAAACCAGGCTCTGCTGCCTGCCTGGGCTCATGGAGTGAAGACCCCGTTCCTTCCGTTCCTGATGTGGCTTCTCATGAAGGTGCAGGGACTGAGGCCAGGGAAGCTGTCCTCTACTCCTTGCACAGGTGTCTGTCCCACTATGGTGCCCCTCACCCTCTGGAGTCCCTCTCCCACAGACCCTGGCCATTTAAATACTGTGAAACGCTTCAAAATAATGTTCACACTCTCCTTTGCTGACATTGCTCTAGATCTGAAAGCTGGAGCCATGTTAATAAAAATGCAGTTGGTGCCTTTTGCAAGCAAAAACCATTGTTAAAAAAACAATAGTTACATGTAAGGGACTCAGAGGAGCTATTGGAAAAGGGATCTACCAAGAAATATGCCATATTTTTGGCCTGCATGTATGAATGTGATTTACAGTCAGTTTGAATCTAATTTGTATTACAGATTCATTACCCATCTGGTTGTGTGACCCTGGCAAGTTCTTTATAGTCCCCCTTTTCTCATCTAAAATTTGGTAATGCAATTCCTATCTACGTGAATTATTCTGAGGAGTAAATGAAATAACACATCCCATGCATACTTTGGCTCTTAGTTTATGTTTTTAATCTTCATCAATCTTCTCTTGATCTTCAAAATAAAGGAAATACTTGGGCTAAAACAGAGTTTTGGACAACTTTCTCTTTCCGGTGTTGTTTGTGATCACTTATGCATTTATGATTATGATTATGATCACTTATGTGTTCTTTTGAGGGGCATGCTCAACTGATAGGATTTCCTTCCCCTGGAGACAATCTACTTGGAAGGTAACTTAAAGTAGGTATGATGCTAATTATTGAAAGCATGAGAGCTGATTCAATCTCTTTCTCTGCCTCTTTTGTCTTTCTATGAAACATTTGCAACTCAGGCATGTCCTTTTCAACTCTGGATCCCTGCTTATCAGAGGTTACTGACATTGTTAAGGTCAATTTCTAAATGTAAAATACAAATGAAACAAAACAAAAGAATAACTTATTATAATAGCATAAATAAGAGGTAACATTACATAGATTAACTTTTAAAAATGTAAGTTTATTTTCATATTAAATATGATATAATCACATTATAGAAAATTTTCAAAATAGAAAAAGTAACAAAGGAAATCACCAATAAACACTATATCATATATTGGTAACCTTTGGTGTATTTCTTTGTTAACATTCTTTCTAAAGACTTTGTTTTGTTAATCCTCACCTGAGTATATATTTTTTCCATGGATTTTTAGAGAGAGTGGAAGGGAAGGAAGGAGGGAGAGAAGGAGAGAGAAAGAGAAGCATCGACGTGAGAGAGACACATCAATTGGTTGCATCCTGCCTGCACTCCGAACGGGGCTGGAGATTACACCTGCAACCCAGGTATGTGCTCTTGACCAGGAATCAAACCATGACCCGTCCATCCTTTGGCTGACTCTCTAACCACTGAGACACTCTGGCCAGGGCTAGAGATATTTTTAAACATGGTTGTAATAATAACATATGCATATGTTGCCTCCTGTGTTTTTCACTTAATTATGTTACAAGTAGTTTTTATGCTATTTCATAATCTTCATAAATATAATTTAAATATAATTTTTAAGGCCACATAATGTTTATCAACTAGATATAGCACAATTTACGTAATAATTTCCTTAAGCTTTGATTTTTAAATGTCAAGCTTTTATTATTTAGACACCTCATCAGAGAAGACTTTCCAAATCACCCTCCTAATTCATTCATTCATTTATTAATTTGTATATTAATCAATGTAATAAGCATTGCTTCTTATCAGGTACTGTTCAAGGATTTGAAACACATCCTTGCCTTCTTGAAATTTACATTCTACCTGGTGGAGACAGACATTAAACATACAAATAAGCAATTTAGATCAGATGTTAGATTTGGATGGGAAAGAAAATAGAGAACAGAGTGGGAGAGGGTGGGATTTTCCATGTGTTGAACCTCATTGAGCAAATGCTGTTGAGTCAGTGGGATTCAGCCATGAGGCTACTGGGACGAGTATGCCAGGTAAATGAATCAGCTCTTGCACACTGGGTGGTGGGCCTGGCGTACTCAAGGAAGAGCAAAGAGGGCTGTGAGGCTGGATACGTCACATGACTGCTGGCTTCCCTTGTTTACTCTTTGATCTGCAGGGTTTGTGAAATGGTATATATTATATATGTGTTTATTTTGTATCTTCCCTCACTAAAATGTAAGTTAGGAACATGAGAACTTCATTTTGTTCACTGCTGAAACACTACTTGCTACAGTACCCAGCATATAGTAGATTCTCAAAGTGTATTTTGAATGAATCAATAGTGATTCAGAAACCTGAATCAAAGTGGAATCTATAAATATGTTAGAAGGGTCTTTTTTAAACTCTGCATATTAATAGTGAGTCATGCGAAGTCATTCTCAAGCATTACTGTTCTGTTCTTAGCACATTTGCCTCTAAAATCACATGGTTTAACTCCTCTGTGAAAAGGTGAGGCCCGAAGAGAATAAATCACTTGGCAAAGTCAACCAGTTTGCAAAAGAGCCCAGTCTGGAGTCTGGGTTGCTAAATATTCTTTCCACCACAACTCTGCTTGTAAAGGAATCCAAATATATTTGTTCATCATTTGACCATGACTTCAATGCACTTTTTTTTTTTTTAATTAATTTGGACTGTTGCTACTGATTATATTCAGTCATTCTCCACATTTTCCAGCTGAAGAGTCTCTGTGGACTTATCTTGGCTCAGTGATCCTGGGGAGGAAGTCCACCTCCTAGGCTGCTTAATGACCACAGCTTCTTAGTGTCTTCCTAACTTCCCTTTATGGTAACAGCAAGATACTCAGCCTCCCTACTCTTCCATGTTCTGTTTTATAGAAGGGAGCTAATAATGGTATTTTTTGTTCTTTTATACAGATTTAATATCACATAAAAAAACTAGCAAATGTTAGCTATTATTATCAAGTACCTTCGTTATTGGTCCCCATGAAAGCTGTGATAGGTAGAAGAAATTATGTCTGACTCGTAGTGAAATTACTTAATATCACCCGGAAGTACCCAGCCTTGAACCCTTTTCTTTTGACTAAAACTAGTTATCTTTTCATTATATCTCAACAGAAAATACAGACAACTTACTTGCATCACATTTCTTTTCATTGATTTACAGAGAATCATAGCCCACAAGTGCAGTGACTCTGGCGTCAGTCAGCCAGGGTTGACCACAGTGAAGAAAAACTTACATTATGTAACGAATCTACCAGCAATGTACTACTCTTAGCTCTCATAATCTAAATATATAAATATCATTAACCCTTAAAAAATACCAAGGTCTCTTAGGCGAATGTCTGATTCTAGGCCTAAGAGAGGGAAATGCACAAGATGGATATGGAACACTTTTTATACCATAAGGCAAGGATGCTATCAAGGATCACTAGGATTGTACAAAAATCATCACTGGTTAACTTAGAGTCAGTCTCCTACTGATAAAGGAGAAAAACTTGAAAATCACTACAGAAATAACTGCAGTAGATTGAAATGCATTAATTATATTGAAATCCATGAGGTCAAAATGATACAAGAGAAAAACCTTCATTGACCACCTTTGAAGAATGTGAAGGAAGCGAGTCATTACTCTGCAAACAGGTAAATTAAGGGAAAGAATCAATCATTCATTATACATTTCCTAAATGAACTACACTCCAGGGTAACCAAATAGTGGAGGAAGGGAAGTTTCTTCTTGTTGAAACCAATGACTGAAGAAGGACAACAGAATATAACCATTTTGCAATTTCTAATGAATGAATAGATCCAGGTTAATTCTCAATGGCTGCTAGTATCACACGCAAAAATAAAACCAGACATTACATACCACCTAATTGAAGTATGTTAACATCAGTTAAAAATAAATCCTTATAGCCCTGGTCTGTTTGGCTCAGCGGTTAGAGTGTCGGCCTGCGGTCCAGAGAGACCCGGGTTCGGTTCCCGCTAAGGGCACGTACCTCGGTTGCAGTTTGTCCCCGGCCCTGGTCGGTTGTGCGGGTGGCAACCATTCGATGTGTTCCTTTCACGTCGATGTTTCTCTCTCTCTCTCTTCCTCTCTCTCCCTCCCACTCTATCTCAACAAAAAAAGAAAAAATGTCCTCGGGTGAGGATAAAAAATAAATAAATAAATAAATAAATAAATCCTTATAAAAATCAAACAAAATCTGATCAGTCTCTACCAATTCACAGAAAATATAAGAAACAAAGAAAAATACAAAACAACGATCAAAATTCAGATCTTAAGAACTCTAGAGGACAAATAACTTGGTTTGACCAACAAGTAAATGCAAAATCAAAAACAAAAAAAGAAGAT